CACCTCTCCGGAGCAGCGAGCCTTTACCCTGGTGGCTGTCAGCGCTTCGGCCCCCTCCCACACGGCCGCTCGCTCGCACCCGCCTGCCCGGGACTGCTCTTCGTGCCCGTCCCACTCGGCGGTGTCGCGGCGGGCAGGCTCTCCCCGTTCTGAGGCAGCAACTCCAGATCAAAAGACAAGGGGAATGGGGAGGAAAAGAGGTAGAGGGGAGGAAAAAAAAAAAAAAAGACAACAGCGAACGGGGAGCATCTCCCACTTGTCTCTTGAGCCTGGCATCCACTTTTCCGAGTTGAAGCCCCCGCCAGCCCGGCACAGGGACGTTCTGTGGCCATTTACACAAGCAGGCAGGGCCGCCCTGCCCGTAGTGGGAGCGCGGGGCGGCGTTCGGGCACCCGCGGCCTCGGGAGCCGGCGGAGCTGGCCCGGCGGGGACCCACGCTGCGGCCAGCGGCGCTGATGGCGGCCCGGTGCCGGGGCCGCAGTGTCAGACCCTCCCCGGCCGGCCGCAGCACGCAGCGGGGCCGCGGCCAGCCGCTGCCGTACCCCCCGGCCGGGGACACCCCGCCCGGCCCGGCCACCGCGGAGAGCGACCCACGGCCGCGGCGGGGCCGCCGTCCCGGGCGTCCCGGCCCCCTTTGTGAGCGGAGCGGTGCGGGACAGGCCGGGCGGCAGCGCCGTGCCGCGGCGCCGGGCAGCTCCCCCGAGCCCGCCGCCTCCCTCCGTCCCCCGTCCGCGCCTCCCCGCCCGCAGCCGGGGCGCCCGGGCGGGAGCGGCGGGCCCCGCGCCCCGATCCCACCTACCGTCCTCCTTGTCCAGCACCATTGTCCCGGGCGCCGAGGGCGGCCGCCGCCGCCGCCGCTCCGGCTCCTTGGGGCGCTCCCCCTCCAGCCGCCGCTCTGGGCTCCGGGGCGGGCGAGGCGCCGGGCCGGGCACCGGGGCGCTGCCGAGGCGTGGGCAGCGGCGCGGCCGCCCCGGCGCTGCCCCGGGACGCGAGTTTGGAGCGGGGCTGCGGCGGCTACGGCCGCGCTGGGCGCCGGAGAGCTGGAGCCGGGCTCCTGCACCAGCCGCCTCGCCCCCGGCCCCGCCGCTGCAGCTCGAGTGCCAGTTTAGGGATCAAAGAAGAAGGGAAGCGGGGGGGAGAGAGGAAAAAGGTAAGGGAGGACCAATATCGGGGGCTGCTCCCCCTGCTCCGTCCTTGCCCAACCTGCGCTGTCAAAAATTGTCTTAATGTAATTGCGTGTGATCGCTCACAACCTCTCTCCCCTTTGCTGTTGCCACTGCAAGAGCTTTCCAGGCTTCTAAAGTGCTTTTCTCTTGATTTCACTCTAAATCTAAAATTATATTCAAAGGAAGGGGGGGTGGGAGGGAGGAAAGATGTGAACCTATCACTGAAAGCAAAAGCACTTGCCGCCTGCCTCGCTCGCTCTCTCTCTCAATTTATGTGCTTTGCACTCTCTCCTGCTGCTGAATAAATGCACACATTTCCCAGGGACCCTCAGATTCCCCTGTTAATTAAATCAATTCATTATGCTCAGATCTGATTAGCAGCCCCTTCCCCCCCTCTTTGAATCAATTATTCAATACACAAACATAATTGCCTGTGCCAGAGGTGTCTAAGTATTAGCTTATTTAACTCCAAGGACACTAATTACCCCTAGGGCAAGGGAACTTTTCTCATTAATTCTGACAAAACACAAAAGCACAGTTAAAGTGTGTGTGTATATACGTGTGTGAGAGAGAAGATGGGGGAGCGCATAGCCGAGGAAGGGAGGCATTACTCTAACAACACGTGTTACTGTATAAATAAGCTCAATTTTTCTTTCTACCTTCGTGTTAGATTTTCCCCCACATCTTGCCTTTGCTAAACTTGCCCGGTCTGCCTCTCTGTTTTTAAAGTAAGGAACAGATTGGCATTGCCAGTCTGTGTCAGATCTGGAGTGAAAGTGCTTGCATCCAAAACAATAAAGAAAAAAGTATATGGGACTGATAGGGAGCAAAGCAGAATTTGGAAATAGTTTACTAAAGCAGAAAACTCTGTGCCAGACAGTCTTCTGTGCTTTAAAAACCTGTGAAAGGCGCAGCCCTCTGAAGCAGCAGGTAAGATGATACATAATCTAGTATGTACTGGGAACAGTTCTGAATTGTTTACCATTTGAATTAATGTCAGTGCCCACTATTAATGTACTTGCTTCCTACATTTACCATAATGGGCTTGATTTCCATTAGCTGGAGCTGGAATGCTAAAAAGAGCCCGGGCAAGGCTGATGCAAACTGAGATCGACCATCATTGTGGTGTCTGAGACGCATGACTTCTGGCTGGCGTGTTACCCAAGTTTTACCTCTCTGTGAACTTCCTTTAAATTAAAAAAAAAAAAAGGGTAAGAAAAAAAGAAGTAGTAATTGATTCCCCCAAATTGGGTTTTTACTTTCTAAAGACCCATATTGTTCATGTCCTCAATGTGCACAGAAGTATTGAAGATTTTCTTTTTGTTTCCTTAGGCAATGCATGAGCTGATCCATTAATCCATTTGGCTTTATATATCAGGAAACTAATATTAGCTCAGCTCATCTATTAGCTTTTATTTAGGTCCCACCATGTTGCCTTTTTTTGACTTTTCTTCAGGCTGGTTCCCTTTGAGGGGAGACAGAGAAGTTTTGATAGATTTCAGGGGGGATAAGGCTGCACATGATCTCATGGGACCCATCATGTCCTCAGTTCCCCACCTTCACATTCACCCTCTCAAGATACCCATTATTAAACTTGCCTCTCTACCCAGTCTCTTTAAGGCACACCTTGTACACATCACCTATAGCCAAGGGGGTCAAAAACCCCACAAGCACCTCCTCTTCATCCCTACAATAAACCAAACAAACCCATAGCTTAGACTGCTTGGCAACAAACAATAAATAGGATTGGGAACATAAAGTTGTCTTTCATTAGTGCAGCATGTTTTTCTGTGAGTACACACATATAAGAATAAAAATGCTTTCAAGCTTTGTAACACAACAAACCCTGTTAATTCTCTGGTTTTTAATTTCCACTCTGTGGCACATACTGCACCCACAGGAACTTGGTCCTTCTAACTCCATGAATCTTTTTTTTTTTTTGTTTGTTTGTTTTTTTTTCTGCCTTTTGAAAGAACACAGCAGCACTTGAAAAATGCTGACCCTGGAGAACATGGTGCATCAACTCATTTCTGAACATGCTTTTGGTCCTTGAGCCATTCCTTCTCTCACTGTGGCCAAGGAGCCTTTTGGGTGCAAAGCCATAATTTCTAAATCTTGGTATGCAACTCTTGAGCCTCAATTCTGAGCTTACTACAGGGATGGTGTGGTGTAATCTATGCACAGACTTACTGAGTGGCAGAAGTTTGTCTGCATGCACTGGAGCTCAAGGTCACTGTTGGGATGCCAAGGGTAGAACTGGAAGAAACTGAGGAAACAGAGGCTGACTTTGGTATCGTTCTTCAGAAATGATGTTTGCACTTGAGCCAACAAAGGTGGGGTCACTGGGCATGAAAAAGACCTGGAAGGAAAAATCTAGAGAGAATGTTGCACTTGTGTAGGCGCATGAGAGAGTGTCACACAAGGGGAGAAAAATAATGCCAAAACCACCAAAACATTTAATTCCCAAACACACATCCTGCAGTTTGAACAGTCTGCTGCAATCCTGCAGTTACAGTCATGGGCATTTTTAGGTTTACAGCTTTAATAAGGTGAAGAGACAAACCCCAGTGTAAAGCTCCTCACTCTACGTAAATTACTTTTTCTGGTGTGGTGAAGCATTGTCCTGTGTTTGTTTTCATTATATCTGCTCAGAGAGTTATTTCAGAGGACTGAGAAAGTTTCAGTAATTTTTGTGCCTCCTTCACCCAGTAGATTAAGTCTCATATGAAGAATTTCACCACACTTATTTTTTAATGCCTTGACACTAGAGAAGAGCAGCTAGATTACTCCTTTAAAAAGCACTTGTGTAGGCAACTGGCCCCATAATGAGTTACTGGGAAAACGACACAGATCAGTGTCTGGGAATAAGCCTCAGCTCCCCAGCCCTCCATTCTGTGGAACAAAGCACTAAAACAGCTCGCTGCTGGAGGAGGACCAGACAGCACCATTGCTGAGGTGCCAGTTCATCGCTGATGTGCACTGGTTTTGGTTCAGTTATGGTGCCTCACACGCTCCATGGCCAGGCAGTTCTGAGAAGCCATCATGCTCAATACTGCACAAACTACAGAGAAAAGGGAGCAGCTGTGCTCTGCCTAGGGAAGTTTCTGGTCTCATACTAATTCCTGCTATTCCTAGTGTGTGAGGGAAGGGGCACACAGGAATAAACCCACTTTTGTGCAGCCAGAGCTTGGGCTCAGACCTCTGGGTCTAACTTGAGGCTCTTGCTCACTAGCTGCTCGTACTTTTTCCTTTTTACTTGAGTACAAGCAAGAGAAAATGAAGTTTCTTAAGAACAACGCCCCATTCTTATTAAATTACAAAGTCCACAGTATACTTAAGTCAAGCCTTTAGCAGACCCGTGAGGTTTCATATTATCCTATGCTTGAATGAGGCAGATGACTGGCGCAAAAACCAGCTGATGACATAAAAGCATTCTTCTACTTTCAGTCTCCCTTAATTAAGGACTTGGTTAATGTTTCAGTGTTGGGAATTATAAAGTTTCATCAGGGAGGTTAATATGTTTTTTTATCTTTCAGCTGACAGGATTAAAAAAAAATCAAAATAAAAAAGGAAGGTGATTAAGTCACGTGTGCCAGTCAGAATCCCACAGTGAAGCAGCACCGGGCCATACCAAAGACTATTCTGCACATGGAGAATTTAGCAGCTGTTTTCAAAGTCAGATTTCTCAGCAGATGAGACTTTTATCTGCCAGTTTGACATATGGGTTTCATTTCTTGAATTCACACAAATAACTGAGACAATTTGCACAGGTCTGTATTCAATTAGCTACAAAACATCTCTATTTTTACCCATTTCAGAATCACTTGCACCTACCTTGCTGGTGTCAGAAGAGAGTGACCATGGGCCTGACCTCATACCACAATTCAGCAGCCCTGTAAAGGAGGAAAATCACAAGTGCTCTGAAAAGTTATGTTCACACAGAACATGGGTGGCAGTTCAAAGGACCACTTAAATACATACCTGAGATCTACAGACCTCAATTATTTCTAAACTCTGGCTTGCTCTACTTCTCTGCCTATGCATTGTGAAAATAAATCACTCAGTTCTGTTACTATGTTTTACGTGAAATGAATGTTAAATATTTTCATAAATATAGGTTCTCCCTTAATAAAGAAAGCTGTGTATTAAAAATACAGCATTTGCTTTGATAGAAGAAAATGGGAAAGCTTCAAAAATAAAACCTCCAGAGAATAAGTTCTTTGCCACTGCGATATAAGGCTGTAACTGTAAGCCATTAGGCTTTACAATCTGTAATGACCTTTTAGAGATATTTACAGTGGATAAATTAGTTATTCAGAAGTTGTGCTGCTGCTCTCCATAGGAAAAAGTTAAAAGGATTTTTTTTTTTTACATAAAAGTAGCAAGAGCTGAATTTTTGGACTGTTTCTTGTTTCATAAGAAGTTTAATGGGCAGATTCTGCACCTCTCGTGTCCAGAACATCTCAGCTGCAATGGAATCCATGAAGTTTCTTTCTGCATGAGAAACTGGTATCAGGAAGGTTTTGTGAGTGGGTACAAACTGCTGGGGGGTGAGGTTGGGTGTGACACACTGCACATCTCCCAGCACCAGCACAGGCAGGGAGAGGTCTAAGGACCCAAGTGAAAGACTCTAGAGGAGGCCCAGACATGGAGCTGGGACTGGCTGGATTTCCCTAGGAAAAGCATAAATAGAGGAGGTGCTTTCCTAATAGAAACCTCCTTTCTCCTTCCAGCTCTCAAAACTTTCCTAGGCTCAAGTGAGATGTGTTCTTCCACTTGTATGGTCCATCAGGTCTCAACAGTGATGTAAGATTTCAATCCTTACCAAACTGAAGTTCAGCAAAAGTTCAGGGATGCACATTTGGCCCAATCTTTCTAAGCAAACCAACACGTGGATTCTGATTCTGCCACCTCTTCACACAGCAGTGCCTGTGCAGAGGTTCTTTAACCCTTAACACACTTATCCCAGCCAAAAGACACCTCCAAATTTATGAGGTTTGGTTTTTCATCCAAACTTATGAATAAACTCTAGTGACAGTGTTTTCATAATGTCCCTTGCTTTCATTTGGATCAATAATTGACTTTTCTGTACATTCTTCTCTACAGCAAAGTCCCTTGCTGCTGCAGTGTTCTCCTGCAGACAGTCCTGCATTTTACTCCTCACCTTGGTAGAGTAGATAGGAGTAGATAGACCTGAAAGACAAATCTGGCATCCCTGCATCTGCCTCAGTTGTTTCTGGAGGAATCAGTGAGACAGTGTCAGGTTCTGGAGTGACACGTGGAGCTCTCAGGCTCGTTGCCACATACTCTGTTCTGATCAGAGCTTATTGCTCCCAGCCTGATGTCAAGCAGAGACTAATCAAATGTGGGATGGGTGAACAGAGACAGAGCCATGCAGCTGCCTTTTCATCATCTCTTACTATCAGCTCTTCTTTAAACTGCAGCAGCACATAGAGGGGTCCCAGTCATGGAGCTAGACCACAGCATATTGTCCAAAAATCCCAGTGCCTTTCTTCAATAGGATAGCTTCTTTCTTCACTGCCTTGCACGAAAGAGACCAGGCAAAATTGACACAGAATAGTTGGAGATGGATGAATTGAAAAGACAAAATGCAATGTCAGGCTCATGTTGCTTTGTGATAACAATACCCTAAGACACTGCCAGTGTCCCCTATGTTTTGTGGCTCCCTCTGTCTCTGCTTGGCGTGGATGACATTTGTCAGTTCTTCATAACATCATTCTAACAACATATAATCTAAAAATGTTGAGCCCATAGGAAAATGGCTGCTGGCACAGGAGCTGTAGGTGCACACAAAGGATATGGTGTGGCAGCTGAACACACAACAGAGGAATTCCAGCTATTCCCATGTTAGGGAGGGTCTGTTGCACTGGGCTGTTTTGCACTTGAATTCATCAGCATCCAGTTCAGTCTGAATCTAATGGTGATAATCTTCTTGATTCATTAACGTGTGAGATGAGAACACATACAAAACCAGAGAGATTAATATTTTTGTATTTGTTTGTTTTAAAATAAATCCATGCTGTGAAATTACAAGATTTCTCTCTGAATCCAAAGACAGAAACCAGTTCCGTGAAGATGAAAGTTAGGGAAGATGTTCTGATAAAAGCAGGCAGGTGGAGGCTCTAATGAAGGCATACACTATAGTGCACATCTTGCCAATATTTCTTAATGAATAATATGTGCACTCAGATGAGAATAGTATTGATTGAGGTCTGCAGGGAAAGTTCTCTAGGAAAAATTTTTATTCTAGGAGCAGAGTCCTTTTTGGAAGATTTTGATCTTTTCCTGCTGCAACCTTTCTCCTCCCCTCTCTTTGTGCTCCCCAAAGCAACTGACAGTCAAAAAATGAAAAGCCTCCCCTGCATCTAATCTATCTATCAGATCCAAAAAGAAATTTATACACCAGTACTAAGAATGGCTGCACCATTCTCCTTAGCTGGTAGAGGACACAGCAGAGTATAATTAGGACTGGATTACTTCGCTCAGAACTGGAACAGAGAGCAGATGTCTTGCATTAATATTGGCATTTGATTTCACACACTTTCTTTGCCATGTTTGCAAAACCAATTTGCCTTCCTATCTTGAATCTTGCCTTTCGTTTGCTCTCAGGCTGCTGTAATGCAAACAAAAAGCCACCAGTGGCAGTATGAAAGTACATGTAGAAGTTCAGGCCCTTACAAAGTGGGTAGAGCTTAGGATTTAATTACTATTGTAAAATATCAACTTATTTTCTGATTATGTTGATGAGATTGGTACGGTCGGTATGTTCTGCTGATGCCAACTCAGACAAAAGAGGTCATGGCATTAGAATGCATTTGTGAACAGCAAAGAAAGATACACCTCTTCCAAATTAATGCCATCAGACTATCTGTAATACAGATGAGAGATGCATTCCCCTTCTCAAACACAGCTAACCTTTTTTTCACCTGTTTTTCCACACAGGGGACTTCAAGTCTTGATTTTGCTCCAGTTCAACTTTTCATGCGCAGAATACTTCCAGAGGGCCTACAACAAAATTTCATGCTGTTAAAAATATTGGCCCCAATTCTGAACTACAGCCAGCTTGCATTTGATAGCAGCTTTATGGCTGCAGCTGGGTTCTGGAGGTTTCTTAGGAGGCAAAGATGATCTGCCTTAATTCAGGAACATCCAGAGGCTGATCACAATGTCCCACACTACAGCAGCACAGAATAGCTGTAATATGGGCAGCAAGCAAGCAGCAGGGTGATGCTGACAAACTCTGGAGTCAGTACAGGGGTGCAACCCAAATTGCCTCACCACTGACCCTCTTCTGCAGTGCTAGCTTTGGCTTCAACACACTGTTTGCTTTACTTGGTGATGGGAAATGCTCTCCAGACCTTGCCCTGTAGCACCAGAACACATCTGTTTGCAGGTGGTAGCACCTGTTTGCACCATGCAGAGCTTTTCCTACAGAGGTGCTTTGGGAAGATGACTCAGCTCTACCCAGACCTATATCCAAACCCACAGTTACTGCCTTTGTTCCCTTGTCATGCCAGACACTTAGAGAAGGGGGTGATTTCTGTTACAGGGTCAGAAAGACCAGGAGATTTTGTGCTTGTAGACCTCCAAGTCTTTTCCCCATGAAAAACTATCCCTTTTCTGTCTACTCTCTGTACACAATGGCAGCAACTCCCCTAGTCCTAGAGAATGTGTTGGATATTTGAACAAAATGGCAAATTAGGAAATGTTGTAGGGGTAATTTCACATTATTCTGGCCCATCAGCAAATGACAGAAGTGCAAGAACTAAAACAAGGCAATAACTGGAAGGAATGGTAGTGGTTGCCACAGCTCTCTAAGCAGGTGAGAAACTCAGTCTGAGAGCAGTAAAGATAACTACAGAAATGATATCATTCTCTCAGTGAGAGCTGGAAAAGCTTCTGTGCTCACAGGGAGGTCAAGAAGCCCAGTGGATCATTTTGTTGCGTTTTTAATGCTTCATGGCACAGGGTCAGTCAGAAATCCCTATCCTGAGGTCATGGTTGGGGCAGCATGGAAAGCAATCTTTCCTGCTGCTGGCAAGGCCCTGCTCAGGCTCTGCTCCTTCTCTCTCTCAGATTATTACAGCCCACTCCTCCTGCTCATCATGCCATGGTTAAATCCACCCTGGGCACTGGCATTCAGCTTCTCTGGGATCACAGGGGCCCCAAGGACTTTCCCTGGGGCATTCTGTCCAGGCTGTTGCAGTGTGGTGCAACAAACAGCCATCCAAAGGTAACCCTGGGCAGCGTTTGGGGCAGTAAAATTCCTTACCCTGCCTGTTGATAAGCAAGGACTAATATTTATTTTTAGGTCCACATTTAAATAGCACGAGTGAGACAGAATGAGGAGCATGGATGGCAAGAAACTTGTCTGATAACTGAGTAATGAGTCCTATTTTTATGGCATTAGCCCCTTGTCAATGCAGCAGTGTGGTTCCACTTGACATGTGGGGAAATGGGGATAATCATCCCTCTCTGAACCTGCCTAGGAGATGCTTTGACCTAGAAGAAGTTTGACTTAGAAGAAGCTGAGAAGCACAGCTTGGAGGGCCTCCTAATGACTACATCTGTTTTAAATAGACATATTTTGACTATGGCTTCCATACCAAACAGCCACCAGAGTCAAGTGATCACTTAAAAAGGCTGAGATACAACTCTGCAGTATTTTACAGTGGATTTAATAGCTAAGCCTTAGAGGAAAAAATACCACCCTGCAAGCACACAGCTGAAGCATGGACATTTAATGAATACTGCTCACTGCCTAAATGTGAATTCACACTGCAACACTCTTGCAAACGATCTATAATGCCTTGCATTGCTAGTATATCAAATTTGCATAAATATACCTCAAATATTTATAAATCAATATATACAAGCACGTGTTTAAAAGTGACTATCAAAAGTGCATAAACACAGAGTTCTTACATGCTCTAATTATCCCAAATAATCACATTTTGCCTTATTAAATTAAACATTCTATGGATAAAAAGTAGCTTGCCATCTAAACACTAAAATACTGTTAGAAAGAAACCCTGCTGCCAAAAAAGAAACAAGAGAACATGCCCATGGAAGAACACTTAACTGAAATGTAGCTGCAGGATCTAATGCCGTGGAATGACTAACAATAATGTATATATTACTTTTAAACAAGCCAGCAGTTTTGGATAACTTTCCACTTCTCTCTCTGGTACTCCAGTTTCAGCCTAGTGAGCTATAACTGTTCAGGATAAGAGGAGAGCAGTAAAAGAGCCTGCTAAACCTCTTGCCCATTTTAAAAGGTTTCCTCAGAAGCAATGAGAATTCCTTATTTCCTCCAGCTGCTTATTTACTGGTGCTTCCCTGCTTTCATTTAATTAGAGCTAAAAAACAACAGCAACAACCATCCCTGATAATTTTTAAACTCTTTCCAACTTAGAAACCCTTTACTTATCAAGAGGTACAAAGAAGCACTGAGGACAGCTGGGGAGTTGGGAACAAATTTCTTGGTGGGTCCCACTTTAAAGCTTTTATATGCCTAAGAAATCTAGCCCTGGCTGAAAGGAAGTGATTAAAGTTTTTAAAGACTACAGAGTTTTACACAGAGTAGTGTGATACTCAGGACCAATTAAATGTCATCTTAAGTACTTAAATGAAGCTTTTTTTTTTTTGTACACTAGGAATCAGTTAAGTGGAAGGTGCCAAATTAAACTTACATTTGAATTGACTTAATTTCAAGTGATTATGCATCGTAATTTAAGAATGATTTCAGAAAGCTTTCAGTGGAGCAGCCTCTGTTAAGTTGGCTTCAGGAGCACTGTGTTAAGTCTGAAAAAAGAAAACAGGGCAATATGACATGCTCAAGAGCAAATAAGTGCAACTAACAACAACAAAAGTGTTGCAATTAAGCCCACAATAACGCAGGTGGCATCTCATGAGGAGGTCTCAGTCAAGAGAGATTCAGTCTGCACAAGGACTGAGTGAGTGTGTTCCATTTCAGGCAAGAGCAGTAAACCCCAGGTTTTCTTCCTCCAACATGTGACAATTTAATTTGCCACATGTAATAACATGATATAATTACTCACATGCCCTTTCTTTGATGAATGCTTTTCTCAAGCAAATATGACTTTGACACATATTAGGGACAAGAGGATATAATAAAACTTCTGGAAATGAGGCAGGAGGTCCTGCAGTTAAAGAGCTAGACTGAAACTAGGGAGACTTGGAATTTAATCCAGGTCTGGCATGTTTTCCATACACTTCTAGCAAGTCTCTTGGGCACCAAAGCAAAAATCAGGTGGCTGATAAAACTTTTCATAAATGCTTAGGTGTTCTTGGCACAAACATTTAATTAGAAAATAGAGGCTAGATGGCTGACTAGACATAAACTAAGAGTGTAACCCTGGGTTGAAACAACCCTGGCCACCCCATCCCCTTGTCTCCTTTTGGAACGGTGGCTGCTTTCATTGTTTTTGCCATTTATTTCTCTTCTTATGTGGGTTATGCCAGTGACTGGGGCTAAAGAATGGTCCAATAACTGGTGCAAAACTTCCAGGGCAGCCTGCTGAAGGCAAAGGGTGGGAATGGGCTGACTCTGCTGACCCCAGTGTGCAGCTCCTCATACCCACCGACCTCCCTACCTACCTTTCTTCAAATTATGGCCTAACAGCTTGACATCTCTTTTGTGTAACAAAATACACCATCAGGACCCTTGAGATCAGTCCCCAGCAGATGGGAGAGCTGGTGTAGCTCTTTCATGTGCCTGAGAAGGTGTCACCCAGACCAACAAACCAACCAAATAGTCTTTTCTGGCTTAAGGTGTGCTCCTGCAATTTCTCCTGTTTAATTTATGTGTCATCATTAATAAATCATTGGGCCGGAGCAGAAAGCATTTCTCCAGGTGGCAGAATAGGTTACTCATCTCGGTTACCACTCCCTGTTTTGCAGATTCTGTTTGTGTTTTACACTGAACAGTCTTTGGCTAATCTGTCACCACTGGCAGAGATTCATCCCCATGCCAGATGACTGGAAAAGAAAGGTTTTCTCTTCCTGCCTCTAGGCTTGTATCCATGACAGTTTAAACAGGGAGAGCTCCATTCTGGAGAAGGATGGAGAAAGTCCTTCCAGCTGGGATGCTCAACAGTCCAGGGAGCAGGGTTTCTCCTGGGAGACAGAGGTTTGGGTAGCTTGGAAGAGAGGACTAGACCATGGGTCCCACCTCTGCCCACTGAGGTGTGGCACGAGGAAGACAAACTACTCACTCAACCATAAATATGTGCCAAAGCCAAGCACAGTCTGATTCTCAGCCCTTTGCTTTTCTGTCAGAATCCTACCTCT